ATCTACTTTCAGGCGGATGGTAGTGACATTTGTTGTCATGCCAACCGGTAGGTACGACTGCCATGGCTTTTAGGTAGGACGCTCCGATCGTACGCAAGAGGCGGGTGGTAGGTGGTCGGCGATGGCAGAGGTTTCCAACTTCCCACTGTCTGTCATCATGAATGCTACAGCTGCTTTCCCAGTTCGCTTGCAACTTTGCGTCCACCAGTCTGAAAACTAGGTCATCCACTTCCTGATCCTTTGCAAAGCAGGCGCTCTCTCTCTCCCTGAAATGTAATTTGTAATCCTGTCAATGCCTCCTCCGCGAGTGAATGCTTGTGGCCGTAAAACTGACCTCCTGGTAGATGTCCTGAACCAACACGGGGGCTAGATGGGAGTCCGGCTAGCTTTATCGGGAATGCGCATCTATAACAAATGCCAATGTTGGGGTTTGGCGGCGGGCCTATGTGCAGGCTCGCGCCGCACCAATTAGGATCCCTGGCCAGTCCACGTTGTAGACCAGGGATGTGGTGGTACGCCTAGGTGCGGGTTTGCGCCGTGCCTCCTCTCCTACCTCCAGTCTTCTTAACTCTGTCTTGGCACCGAGTCCAGGTAGGATAAGAGGAGAAAGTGCGGTAGATGCAGCGAAAGTCTACTACCACTTTAAACTAATTCACGCGCAAGCCACCGTCCCTGCTCTCACCCTGCTTTGGACAACGTCGGTCACGACAATCAGGCTGTCGGGTAAATGCCTGCACTTTTCTGATAGCGTTTGTGCTTTGCAAATCAGCCTGCTAGGCCATTCCTTCACGCTTGAGGAAAAAATAGAGGACATTCCGCCCCCGAAGAGTTCGTGATTAGTCAGTTTAACTTTCTGGGAAGGCGAAAAAGAAGAAGCCATGTCACCCTATTTTAACGCACAGATAAAACCTGCGCAAACTATACCGCGTAGGCGGCGTACGCAGGGAGCGCTAGTCAGGACCTGACGGGGGATGCTAAGCATGTAGCAACAAGAAAATTTCACGCAACACCTAGTGCAGAGCTGACGGCTGAAACATGCCCCGCGAATCTTCATCTGGTTGTTTGAATAATTCAAACAACTTCTTCCCCCCCTCCCCGAGGCATCTCTGAGTGTGGACGTTCGTATTTCATATCTGCAAAGTGATTTTGAGAAGCTGAACGCATGTGCCTGAAGGTTCGGCACACCCTGGAACACGGGGTTTGGAGGGGGGGGGAGGGGGGAATCCTTACTGTGCTGGCTATTTCTGGTCTACCGTTGGTTGGCATTGACTAGGCATACGTCAGTGAACCCCTTACTGGCTGGCGAACTGGGAGTCTTCGCAAATACCTCAGAGGAGAAGGTTTCCGCTTATGCGCTCCTTACATTCTCTACATGACAGGTAATAAAGAAGGTGTTCTGATGAACTAGGCAGGCCGAGTGTAGAGCAAATCCGCATGTTATCTTCTAACTGCACCATAGCGAAATAGCGTTACCGGCAAGGCACACGGGAGATTGGAACGGCCATTTCTGGCTTGTTAGCCGTCACCAGCCATCCATACCCAACCCCGAGGTGTGCCTGCCTGTTGGTTAGAAGTCCAACGTCTCTAACCACTGAGCTACGGTCTCGTTGTCCTGTCGATTGCGATCGGGTCTTCACAATGGTAGGGGGATGTTCACCGATCGTTCTTACGGAGCTCACTCGTCCCGTTGTGCCTTTGGGCTCTCTCAACGGGAGGTACTGTAGGTAGAATAGCATTATTGACAAAGACAAGGGAGGCTGAATTGGTCCATTCTGGTCTGTTAGCCGTCATCAGCCGGTCATGCTTCGAGACTTGGCATGACTGGCTAACGATGGCTAAAATGCCAGAACTGGCCAGAACTGGTCTCTCTAGTGTTTACCGGTAATGCTTTTCTGCCCACACTACACGCCGCTGTACGACTGTTGGTAGGGCTTGAGAGAGAGAGAGAGAGAGAGAGAGAGAGAGTCCCAGAGAATGACGGGCCGAGTTCTGTAACGCTACAGGTGCACGTCCGCCTACCACGCCATCCTATATCATTAGCCAGTAAAGTCGGTGTGCGAGACGATTAAGATACAGGTTTGAACTGCAGGAGCACGCCTAACACACGGTTTGTCACTGTAGCTATTAATAGCCTGTCTCTCCTAGAAACCACTAATGCAACCTTCCCCGCCCCAACTTACTGCAACCTGATTGGTTCTTTTCGTAACCCTCCACCTCCCCCCAACTAACAGCACTGCCCACAGTCTGTCTACGTCACCACTTTCTCCTTGGCCTCACCAGCTCTCCTGCCCTCCACTGTATCGTCATGTTTTCACCTCCCATTAACCCCCAACTGCTCCTCTTCTTCTTTCTCCTCCTCCTCCTCCTCCTCCCAATAATAGTAGTGATAATAAAAAATATTACTATCATCTTTTGGCAGCTCGGTCGTTCCTAGTTTACTCAAGCTACTGTACGGTAGCGTCCGCAGAATAGGGTGGGCTTATTCAACAGTAGTGTCATGTGTTCCTGTCCTTTTACCTATTCATTATCCACTCGAGGTATTTTCTCCGTACATTCCCGAGTGGAACGCTCTACCGTCTAACCGTCTGTTTGATCGATGCAGGTTGGCGCAAGAGCTGGAAATGCATGCAAGCAAACAAGCCCGAGGCTGGGCTGAGAATAGGCCAGTCGGTCGTGTTGCGCGTGCTTGCTGCCGCCTTTGGCTCGGCTCCAGAACGTGGGTGTGTGTGTGTGTGTGTGTGTGTGTGTTTCTTTTTTTTGCGTGGTCGTCAGCGCTGCGTGTTCGAGGTCTGGCAGCCGTGGTTGCAACAACTTCGGTGGTACGGACGCACCGCGTGCTCACGTGCGGCCCACGGACGCTGAATCAATGCATGTCACGCGCCAACGCCAGGACGAGATAACGTACCACGCGCGGCGCGAAGGCTGACGCAGCGCCCTTGCCCTCCCGAGAGCTCGGCGATTGGCTGTGGCCGCCACAGTAATCGCCGTCGCCGTATGCAAAGCTCGTAATTCCGCTCATCAGCGAGACTAGACCCTCCCGTACACTTGCCCTCATCGCGGCCGGAGGTGGAAAGGGGTCTTTGAGGCAAGGCGGAGGTGGGGGAGGGGGTAGTGTGGAGACGTGAACCCCCTTCCCTCCCTCCTCCCGCCCGTCCCGGCTCTGGACTTGAAAACCATTAGTTGGAAGGAGGTACGGCGCGTCCGCGCCGACAGAGCTCCACTCGCCTACCCTACGCGTAGACTGAAGCAGGAAGTCAATGATGCCTAGTTCACACAGGCCAAGTCGGCGAACATTCTGCCCTGTACGTCCACAAAACGACAGGAATAAAATTAGAAATAGAAGTGGGGAGGGGATGTTTTGGGACAGTTGTTTTGTTGTTCCGACGTTTCGCAGGCTCACGCGAGTCCAGCGTCAAGGGATGAGGAAAGACGCAGATCCGTGCATACTTACCTCGCGTCTGCCGGAAATGACCTTTAGGTGTGTCATTGATTAGTTCACGCAGAGCCTGGCAACCGGTTGGCAAATCGATAGTCTATTGATTGAACCCTCGGTAGCATGTCACGCCTACGCACCTTCTTCTTCTTCTTCTTCTTCTTCTTCTTCTTCTTCTTCTTCTTCTTCTTCTTCTTCTTCTTCTTCTTCTTCTTCTTCTTCTCATTCTTCTTCGTTCTCGCTTTTCCGGGCCTCACGTGTTTTCCACAATTCAGAATGAGTTACAAACAATGTAGACTGCCGTAAATAGAGAGCATTCTCCCTTTCTCACTCGTAAAAGTACTCTTACGGTATCTACGGGTCGACACACGCCAACGTGACTTAGCCCATCTTTAGAGTTCCAGGTGTATGCATAGGTGAAGAAGAAGAGTCGAGTCAAACAGGTGGCAAGAGTTCTGATCAACGATTGTCACCGGCGTTTGCAGAAATACAAGGCTGAGATGGAGGGGAACAGAAGGCAGTGTGTCCACACTCGGCGAGTCGATCGCCGCAGATCTCGGGAAGACGATCTCCGCTCTGGCACACCACAGGCAAGCCAAGAAGAGAGAAGTTTTGGAACGGAAACTGACTAAACTAAAACCGCCAGTTACAGAAAGCTCAAACTAGGTCCACAACCTCTCGTCTAAGCAGCTAACAGAGCAGCAACTACGAGTGTTACGGCATGAAACTTGTTTCAACACTGCAGATGCCGATCCTGTCGACTTCATTGCAGCCCTGGAAGCTATGCTTGTGAGAAGTGAAAGATCCGACGACATGAAACACTTCCCCCGACAACGTGTTACCTCCTTGCTGATGACACATAGACCAACCAAATGTATTCCGCAGAGTGAGTCAAAGGCTATGAGGGAAATGAAGAGGGACGACAGCATTATCATTCTACCTGCTGACAAGTGACGATCAACCGTCGAGATGAATAGAGAAGACTATAATGAAAAGGCTAAAGCCCTTCTTGATGACAGAGAATTTTACAGACCAGCACAGAAGTCACAAGCCAAATCAGTGGCAGATCGGCTGAGTAAACTGCTTAGAGAATACCGACATAAAAATGTGATCACAGAGAATGAATGGCCAGATGCGGGCAACTGACACCGCTCCAGCTCGATTCTGTGGTCTGCCAAAAATCCATAAAGCAAATGTCCCACTTCGGCCAGTCGTTGCCCTAAAAGGTAGCCCCACCTACAATTTGGCAAAGTGGATGTACTCAAAACTGAAGTTCCTCCAAGGCAATTCGACTTCCTCAGTTCGATCAGCCTTCCCCCTCCTCATAGACCTCCGAGGTCGGATGATTCAGTCAGGCGAAATCATGGTGTTCTTCGATGTGACGTCGTTATTCACATCCATCCCACCAAACTTGGCCCGTGAAGTCTTGCGCAAAAGACTTGAAGAGGCGTACGATGAGACTCAGAATGCACTCAAAATTGAACACCTCATGAGGCTGTTTGAATTTGGTTAACAAACTTTCTTCACCTTTGCGGGAGAAACCTATGAACAAATCAAGGGAACCACAATGGACTCACCGGTCTCCGGTTTAATGACAGAACTGATCCTACCGGTGTTAGAAAAGATTGCCTTCATCCAACATGGACCGGTATTTTGGCGTCCTTACGTAGACGACATGTTCGTCATCGTAAAGAAGGACATTGTGCAACATTTCCACAGCCTGCTCAACGCAGTCTTCCCTGATATAAAATTCACGAGGGAAGAAGAACAGGAACAGCAGTTGCCCTTCCTGGATGTGCTTGTCAGACGAAACCTTAACGGTGAACTTGACAGGACGGTTTATAGGAAGGCAACGAACACCACACAGCTCCTCAGTGAAGCTATGTGAAGACGCTCTTCAAACGGGTCCAAACTCACTGAAGCAAACCGGAGGACAGAGAACGTGAGGCCCGTTATCTCCGCGACCAGTTTGTGCAAAATGGCTATCCGAGGGCATTCATAAAACGTCGCCTACGCGGTCGCCACCAGAGGACTCGAACATCAACATCACCGACGATATGGCATCAGGGGCGTTTCAGAAACGACCTAGCGTATTACTGCGGAGCTAGGTGTTGGGACTGAACACCGCCTCAAAGCCACCATGCGCAATAGGGTTCCAAAACTTCGTCCAGTACAATGTAAAGAAAGGAAAAAATCGACGAAAGAGTATGGTTCTAATTGTGAAGAGTAGCATAGGCCGTGGAGAGGGGAGGACAAAGAGCTTAACTGGCAAGTTCGAGGCAAGAAAACCATGACTCAAACAGCTCCCGGCACGCGGTTATCACCTGTCGCAAGGGTTTCGGTCTCCCTGAATTTGAAGGTGTGATCTGATTGCATCGAGTGAACCAGAAATCCTGAGCGGACCACATTCCTCCTCACTTCCGAGGCGTGTTCGGCCTTACAGTAATCTCCCTCCCGTCTGCGTAGTTTCTGTACCAAAAACTGCCATGGCAATGGGCTTTCACCCTCATCGCCTGGCCTGTGTACTCTTCCTCAGTAGGCAACTTTTGAGATGTCTGTTACGAATTGGCGGGCTCCGTGAAAGCTAGGGGATTTTTATTTGCGGTTTTATGTCGTTTCACTTTCTTGCGTTCGCCCGCAAGCATTCTTGCGCGGATAGCAATTCGTCACGGGCTCGTGGCCCAGTGGTTAGATACGGTGGACTTCTAACTAACAGCTCGCGAGTTCGAGCCTCGGGTGTTCCACACTTCGGGCTCGCATATGGCTGGCTGACGACGGCTAATAAGCCAGAAATGGTCATTCCAGTCCCCCTTGTCTTTGTCCGTAATGCCATTCTGCCTATATCATGCACCGCTGTGCGGCTGCTGGTTGGGCTCGAGAGAGAGCCCATAAGGCACAACGGAACGAGTGAGTTCCGTAAGAACGATCGGTGAGCGCCTCCATTACAGTTTTACTAATTCTGACCTCGTAACTCTACATACAAATTCACAGTCGTCAGAGAGACACCTGCGCTACCCGTGTCCGGTTTCTCCGGCTAACCGATGTGTTTTAGAGGAAACACGCACAAAAATATTCTTTATCTTCCTCAATTGGTAGCAAATTACGTCTTCTTTAAATTTCATGCCTGAAGAAAGAGGGTCTCGCGGCCTTAACAATAGTTCCTCATTACGAGGTTTTTCAGGACCGCGAAATGTCCAACCTTGTACCATCAGATCAGAGCATTTATTAATGCTGGTTATAAAGTCGACGGCGTGGTCCACATCCATTACAAAAATTTCATGTTCTCTTCATAATACCATATAGAAATGTATAATTTTTCTTGCACGAAAAGTATACAGCCTGTAGTTTGGAAACACCGAGTGCAAGTGTGTCAGCTGTTTCTACGGTCGCTTAGACTAAAATATGGATATCGTAAGAAGTTACCTCCATGAACCACTCTTTCTAAACATCTCCTTTAAAAGCACACCTTTTAAAACGGTGAAGTTTCCTCAGAAAACAACAACCAAGCACCTCGACATGTTCCTCATCGATTTTCTACTTCCACAAAAAGGACTGGACCGCGCAATCTGTGTTTTCAATGGGTTTCTCCAATCTGCTAGCACTCCGGGGACGGTAAGAAGGACGACTGGGTGGGTAATAAGTCATCAGGTCCAAAACCCGCCACACAAGCTTTAGTGGCCACCGCCTGCGTGAAAGCTCACAGTCACTGACCCTGCCATTGCACCAATCAGGCGGCGGCAAGGAAAACTCGGAAAATTGACAAGGGCCCAAGCCGGGTAGAAAAAGCTGAGCTCTGATTTTGAGTAGTTTCAACTATAGGCGGGCAAAGTTGAGAGGGTAAGATGTGGTTTGGTAGCCCCATCTGATGGACACAATACTGTTGGGGGTGGGGCTAAGGGTTAGGGTTAGGGATAGGGGTTAGCGCAACTATTTCTCAACCACTCAAAGTACAACCGCACATTCCCAATAGCTTTTCTTTTGCATACAACTGCTTGACCTCGTCACCTGTGCGTTCCCCGGCTCCACCTGTAAAAACCCCTATTACCACCGGTCCGTATTGCATGTGACTGAGTTTTTTTTACTTCAGGTGGGGCCACATAACCACATCCGACCAATAGGAGTCCCAGAACGGTAATGTGAGAGTGCAACACTGGCATCTGTGCGTTCCAATAGGAACTCGAAATATAGTAAAAAAGAGCCTTAGTACCAAAGGACACGGCTCCTCCTCCTCCTCCTCCTCCTCCTCCCCCTTCTCCTCTCCTTTATTTTTTTATTCTTCTACTTTCGGTTAAGTGCAGTACCTCTCCGTCACCGCTCAGTCGACTTTTAAAGGATATTTCCTCTGCTGACCCACAGGTATGATCGGAGAACTCCGTGACTGCGATCTCCTTGCGTCCTCCCATCATTTTCCTCAGTCTTCTTTCTCTCTCTTCTCGAAAATGCCGACTTTTCTGGAAGTATACTGTTGGTCAAACAATGTTTGTCTGCCGCCCTCCCCCCCCCCTTGATATCGTCTATTTTTGGACATTTATATTCGGCTTAATTACGTGCCTTATCGCAATTATTGCCCCAGTAGGGCACGAGCATTGAAAACAGAAGCATTAAACGTACATAGACAATCGTTGGGCGTATCCCCAGAGACGGCTCGCATTAATTGTTCATTAGGGAATCAGTACCACGCTGACACCCTGCGCGCAAGGATTGCATCAACAACTCACTCCCAGAAGTTTCGTACTTTTCCCCAATCTTCCCCATGCTTGACTACTTAATTCGCTTAATTAGGATCTTCGATTCTTGACAGTGAGAGGAGAGGCAAGTGGACGCAGAAAGAGGTGTTGGCAGGAGATAACCCTCTAACGCACCTTTGGGCTGGAAAGTAAGGGCTGGATCGGTTTTAAAACAGTTTTTCAGGAACGATCAGCGATCACTGTGCAGCCACAACTTAGCGTCACTTCGGAAACTTGAAACTGGGCTTTCGATGGAGGTACTATCTTCCGATTTGAACGACCACTTGTACGATTACGAGCACTTTGGCGTTCAATCCTCGCGGTAAATATCAAGAACGTGCTGGACGTGCGGATGGCGGGACAATATTGAGCACTATTCATGCATAGCCTGGAGGAGAAAAATTGGAATTTACCATCTAAGCTCTCATAAATCTACACGCGCACAACTGAGATAATCCATGCTGTTTCATCTTGACCATCGAACAACTGAGCCTATCCCTCAATTCATGCTCAGTCGATCTCCGTTTTTTGTTTATTCGCTCTTGGGTACGGCTGTCAGTCATCAGTATTCAACTAGATTTCGCAAGTACGTACATCAACACACGACCAACAATTTACCGAAAGCTATATGGGCTCTTCCACAGTTGTCGATAGTTTTTCGCTTGTTGAATATTTGTCCCAATAGCTCTGCCTTAAACAGCCGGGGGCTTGAATCATTAAGCCTCATTGGCCGACACCACTCGGAGAGGTAGTGCGAACTAGAATTATTATTCTCCAAAAATCCGCTACGTGCGACCTCTTCCCTTGAGTAAAGAAGGTCTTCTTTTACATAATATAAAGCAGATATCTTCGAATTTAGCCTATTTAGGTGCCCACCACGTTCATGTGGTCGAGGTATGGATTTTCACGGATACATATTGTATACTACAAACTGTGCCCGTTAGAGCAACTGCCAAAGGCTTCTTTTCTGATTAGTAAATGACCACTGGAATAAGCGAAGAAGAAGAAGAAGAAGAAGAAGAAGAAGAAGAAGAAGAAGAAGAAGAAGAAGAAGAAGAAGAAGAAGAAGAAGGGTGGTCAAGCACCGGAGCATTCTGCTTATTGTTTTGAACTTTCGAACTCGTGTGAGGGTTCATCGTCAGAGATAGTGGCAGCAACAGAACAAGCGACAGTTATAGGGCGTGTTACCGACGTCGCAAGAGTGGAAGTGACTGCGCAGGGCTCTGTACGCCAGCGTTAGATAAATAAATCGATTGGCTGAGTTCTCATCCGAGGCCCAGACTGCAATCAATCCTCGGCTTATTTTGTTTCCGGCGTGGGTGACTATTTTGGTGACCCACTTCATAGGTGTCGACGGCCACTTTTGATAATGCTCCGGTGCTCGACCACCCTTCTTCTTCTTCTTCTTCTTCTTCTTCTTCTTCTTCTTCTTCTTCTTCTTCTTCTTCTTCTTCTTCTTCCTCCT